CATTAAACCTTGAGTCACCACAGCACATGTCTTTTGCAAGGACAAGGTTGGGGGTAGGGTCGCAGATTAACAGCATCTCAAGTACAGAACAAATGGAGTCTCTTATGTCTACTTTTTTCTATATAGACACAGTAAGAGGCTGATCTCTCTTCCTTTTCCCCACAGAATGCCATTGATTCATTCCTTTTTATGGCTGAGTAGTATTCCATTTTATTTTATTTTTAAAATATCTCTAGTTGTATTTTTGTAACTCTCCAGTATATTTTGAAATATATGATTTTGACATCTCAAAATACACAGAAATTACCTATATCTGCCTATACATTTATTAAATGCTAATGAAGAATACTTAATATTTAAGCATGCCAAATAATAAAACTATTCCCAACTTTTTAAATTTAAATTTAAATTATTTTTTAAAATAAACCAATTTATATTGGACATTGGGGTTACGTGTGCATATAAAAACAGTCATATTCCTCAACTGACCATAGATAGACTAGCATACAGGTGTCCTTCTTTCTGGAGGTAATTAAGTGTCAGAAGCAAAGTGGTTCAGATGGGAGCCAATGAGCTGACTTCCTCATGAAGTAAACTTGACAAAAATCATGAAGTATTGAAGGTGCTAACGACTGATTCCACAAATGTTTCTCTCTTCCCTATCTTTTCAATATACAAGTGTGCATTATGGGTGTATATAACTTAAAACACTTCTAATCTAGACTGTAAGCTCCTATGGAGGGAGCTACTATTAATCCATAAAAGGTCCTGGGCAAGAGAGAGGTAGCACAGGGGAGCAGAGGGCACCTGCCCTCCATCAGGCCATCCACACGAACCTACTGAAGAGGTAGACTTGACAATCTAAGTCTCAGTGGGCTTAGATGTTTACCTGGGCCTTCAAGTGAGGTTTTCCTTCATTATATTTTACGTTGCTTGTTCTACTATTTTTGTAACTGGGGTAAAGTGAGATGTTCAACTCGTCTAAGAATGCTTAATATACCCCATAAACGGTCTGAATCAAAGATTTTTATTTATTCTTCTGCCAAACACAACTGATTTCCATCTACAATTATTTTTTAAGGTAAGAAACAGTAAGTCAACTGAACAAGGAGCTGGGGCTTTGGGCTTTGGAACATGATTACGCACTGACTGAGAAATGCAGCACCTCCTACCCGGAAGTGGCTGGGTAGGAGATAGGGAATTATAATTAATACCTATAATATCAGAATATATATTATATAATAATATATATCGTAAAAATTATTGTACATACATATACATATGATATATAATATGTACATATATGCTAACATATACAATATATTTAATGTTTTATATAATATATAATCTAAATAAATATAAATATACTTTAAAATTATAAATTTATAATAAATATAATATATAAATATAAAATTAATATTTATCATATTATATATCATATTATAACATAGTATGTTATAATATTTATATTATATTATATCTAATAAATCATACTTATTATTATATATTATAATATTGTATTATAATATTTATATTTATGCTATAATAAATATCCATATAATGTTGTTTATATACTGTTTATCAAATCCTATATATAACATGGAATATAAATATAAAAATCAAAATAAAATAAATGTATATATTTTATATATATAGAAAGGAATACTACTCAGCCATAAAAAGGAATGAATCAATGGCATTTACAGCAACCTGGATGGAATTGGAGACAATCATTCTAAGTGATGTAACTCAGGAATGGAAAACCAAACACTGTACATTCTCACTCATAAGTGGGAGCTAAGCTATGAGTATGTGAAGACATAGGAATGATGCAATGGACTTTGGGGACTTGGGGGAAAGGGTATGGAGAGGTAAGGGATAAAAGACTACAAACTGGGCTCAGTGTATACCACTTGGGTGATGGGTGCACCAAAATCTCACAAATCACCACAAAATCTCACAAATCACCACTAAAGAACTTACCCATGTAACCAAATACCACCTGTTTCCCAAAAATCTATGGAAATAAAATTTTTTTAACAAAAAGCAAATAAAAGTTACTGAAAGCTATTTAAAAATTGAATAATTGTCTCCCATTGCATATGAAAATCTTTGGTAAATAAAGAAAAAGATTTATACCACAGTAGAAAAAAAACGGACAAAAGCCATTTAAAAAGAATTCACTGAAGGAATACAAATGGTCAATCAATATAATGAAAATATTCAACCTCTTAATCAGAAAAATTAGAAGTAAAATAAGATGGCTATAAATTGCTAAAATTAGATAATTTAAATTATAATACTCAATATTGATGAAGATTAAGAGAGAGGAGCATTCCATTATACTGCCAATGGAATTACAAATCAGAGCAATTTCTCAGGAAAAATAAATTGGCCATATAAGTGAAGAATCTTCAAAATGTTCCTAGTCTTTGGTCAGTAATAACATTCCAAACTAACTTAAAGAAATAGTGAGAGATGAGGTCAAAGAGTTATGTACAAGGTTTTAACTGCAATATTTATGACAGGGAAAAGCAGAGCTAATAAATTATACAACAATGGAGAAATTATACAATAAATTGAAATACATTCAAACATGAAAAATTGCATAGTCATTATAATTGCATTTTTAAGGAATATCAATAGAAATGGAAATTAACCATCATATAATTAAACTAGAAAGTGTTCCATATAATCAAATATATATTATGCATATTATATAATAAGTACACAAAATGAAAGTTTTATTCAAAAATGGCATGCGTGCTTAAAATTTTAACTCTTTAATTAAGATACAAAATAGAGGCTTAAATTATATTTTTATTTTATTCTTTATACTTGTCTACACTCTATAAATGTGTAGAATGAGTATGTAATACTTCTAAAGGAATAATCATGCTATAAATTTTTAAAGTATCTATAATCTATTAAAAATAAAGTTGGGGATAATGCAGATGGCTATAATGTATAAAATAACTGAAAACCAAGCATATGTAAAATGAAAAGACAGTAAGATGGAAGGAAATTAGCTTAAAGACTTTTAAACATGAACATTGGGTATAAGAATACAATGAAATATCATTTGATGCAGCAATCCCATTAATGGGTATACACCCAAAGGATTATAAATCATTCTACTATAAAGACACATGTACACATATGTTTATTGCAGCACTGTTCACAATAGCAAAGACTTGGAACCAACCCAAATGCCCATCAATGATAGACTGGATAAAGAAAATGTGGCACATATACACCATGGAATACCATGCAGCCATAAAAAAGGATGAGTTCATGTCTTCTACAGGGACATGGATAAAGCTGGAAAGCATCATTCTCAGCAAACTAACACAGGAACACAAAACCAAACGCTGCACGTTCTCACTCAGAAGTGGGAGCTGAACAATAAGAACACATGGACACAGGGAGGGGAACATCACACACGGGGGCCTGCTGAGGGGTAGGGGGCTAGGGCAGGGATAGCATTAGGAGAAATACCTAATGGAGATGATGGGGTTGATGGGTTCAGCAAACCACCATGGCACGTGTATACTATGTAACAAACCTGCACATTCTGCACATGTTTCCCAGAACTTAAAGTAAAAAAAAAAAAAAAGCAAAAATGTTTCACAATAATACAGTATAAAAACATCTAATAAAAACTACTTAATACATATATGAAAGTCTTGTGAGAAAATACCAAAAATGTATCAACACTAAAAGCTTTGAAGGACTGACAACCCACAGGAAATACAGCCATTCTGTACAAAAAGCGTAAGAACTTTTTCTTAATTAATAATTCTTTATCAGCTACTCTGACTATATGTATGTGTACTGTAACTCTGAAAGCTTGATTCAGTCTTTATAAATACATTCACATTGCTACTTAAGGACAAAACTTCTCCGTGATGCACTTAATATTTTTCCTTCTTTATGGTCAGTAATCACAGATATGACAGAAAATCCATGCAGTGGAAAATATTTTATGAAAACAGCATTGTAAACCTTTATTTATTTACGTATTTTTATAAGAGATAAGTTCCCATGAAAGTTCTATTCATGAAAAGTCCGATTTTAAATATGGTAGCTATCTATTATGTTCATGTTTTACCTTTAAGTTGAGCATGTGTGAATAAGACACTGGGAACTAACCCAAGAAAGAATGTACCACATCTCTCTGCCTGAGGCCTGAAGAGATGATAATCATAGTGATTCACATTATGGTTATTCACATTTTTCCTATTTGTTGTTTTTAGGCTAGAATATAGAATAAGTAACTCCATCTACAGGCAGACCAAAATTGCATTAACTTTTAAAAATCTACATAAAATGTTTATTCACATAGACAAAATCACTTTAAATATTTCAGACACTCAGCTCCATTAAACCTTATCTCAACGATGATCATTCTAATGATACCGGGAAGACTGTGGCACAAAACAAGTAAATGACTTTCTCCACCCTAAAACAAAGTAGCAATATGGAAAGCAAATAAAAGAATTATAAATAATATTTTCAGATGCCTTCAACTCGGTATAGTTAATGATAAAACGGTTGTCTAAGTCAGTTTTCCCCCTTCTCCCCTTGTAAGTTACACAAAAGCAACAAGGAGGAAAAAGTAACTCTCCAAATTTTATTTTTCCAAGCTGAGGAAGATGTAATTTACAGATTCAAAATTATATGTATGGGCTACAAAAGGCTGACATTGGGCCAAATCTATGCAGATAGAAAGAAAGAGAAATAATGTGAAAAGTAGCAAGAGGATTCAGAGGAAAATAGTCCATTGCACACAGGGGGATCAAAGCCAAAAAAAAAAAAAAAAGCCATATTCTCATCAGAAACAACAGATGAGAGAAAACAACAGCAAAAAAGAATGACATTTTTAGAGTGCTGAAAGTAAAAATCAGCCAACCTAGAATACCAGTGAGAATATTTTGCAAAAATGAAGGTAAACTACAAATTCACGGTAAACAAAAGCTGAGAGAATTCTTTCCCATCAGATCCACCTTGAAGCAAATGCTGGAGGACATATTTCAGGCTAAAAGGAAAGGATGTCAGTTGGGAACTCCTACCAAAAAACAGATCCAAAAGAAGAATGAATCATCGATGTGGTAAATTATTTGTGAATATATGAGAAATATGTCTTCTTTACTTAATTTATTTAAAATAAAACTGATTATTAAAAGCAAAAATATTAGTAATGTGTTGTAGAATAATTAGAAGAAAAATATGACAACAATAGCACAAAGGGATTCTACATATCCTACATTATGTGATGCTCTTATGATATATGAGAGGTAGTTTAATATTATTTCAACTTGAACTGTAACAAGTTACAGGTAAAAATTGCAATCACTAGAACAATCAATAAAAAATACAAATAGTTATAAGTGAAATACCAATAGATGAGATAAAATAAAATATTAAAAAGTTTTTGGTTATCTCCCAAGAAACCATGACAAAGCAGAGGGGGAAGCACGAAACAAAAAGAAGACGATAAACCTAAACCCAGCATGTGAATAATTATATTAAAAGTAAATGGAATAAATACTCAAACTAAAAGGAGGATTTGTTGGATACAAATTTTTGAATTTGTTGAATAATAATGTAAATTACAAATACATACTGTCTATAAGAAATACACTTCAAATATAAAGACACAGTCAGATTGAAAGTAATATGTGGGAAAAAATATACCACACGAACACCAACCAAAAGAAATCTGGGATGTTAACAATTGAACAAAGTAGTCGTTAAGAAAAGGAGCATTACCAGATATTAAAAATTTCATAATCATAGAAGGGTCAATTAATCAAAAAGGTGTAACAATTTTAATTGTACAGAAAATCCTAAAAAATTTATGAAAAATCCATTATAGTTAACATACTAATTCAGCAAACATACAGGATACAAGATCAACACATAAAAGTCAGTTATATTTCCATATACTAACAAGAAATGATACTAACAGAAAATTAAGAAAAAAAATCAATTCACAAAGAGAATCCAAAGAATAAAACACTTAAGAAAACATTTAAATAAGAAGGTGCAAAACTTGAATACTGAAAACTATAAAACTACTGAAAAAAATTAATAAAACATAAGTAAATGGAAAAACAGCCCATGTTCGTGAAATGGACAGCTTAATATTATTCAGATGGCAATACTGTCCAAAGTGATCTACAGATTCAATACAATTCCAATAAAAATCCCAATGGCCTTTTTTCTTGCATAAATGGAAAAGCTGATTCTAAAATTCATGTAGAATTGCAAATGACTTCAAAAAGCCAAAATAATCTTGAAAAGGAAAAAGAAAAATTTGGAGGACTCATAGATTCTGATTTCAAAACCTACTGCAAATCTATGATAATCAGTACAGTGTGGTACTGGCATAAAAATAAACCTATAGGTCAGTATAATAGAATTGAGAATCCAGAAATAAACCCACACATTTATGGTTAATTGGTTTTTGACAAAGACGATAAAGCCATTCAACAGGGAAAATATAGTCTCTTTAACAAATGGTACTGGCGCAACTGGGTATCCACATGCACAAGAGTAAAGTTGATGCCCTACTTCACAACTTCAAAAATCACCTATAAAACCATAAAACTCTTAGGAAAAAAACATCGGAGTAAATCTTCATGACCTTAGGTTTGGCAATAGTTTTCTAGAAATGATACCCAAAGCACAAGCCACAAAAAAAAAAAAAAAAAAAATTACAGGTTAGTTGGACTTTATCCAAATTAGAAGCTGTTGTGCGTCAAAGGACACTGTCAGGAAAGTGAGAAACAAAATAAGACAACAGAAAAATAAAACCACTTAAAAAGTAGAAAGAAGCATTTACAGATCACACGTCTGATAACAAATAAGGTTCTAGTATCCAGAATGTATAAGCAACTCTTACAACTTGATAACAAAAAGACAATTTTATGCCTTGTGTGATGTCTAAAATAGAATAAAGTACAAATTGAAAGCAAAAGTTGATAAAGATGTGGAGAATTCGGAACTCTCATACATTGCTTGGAATGTAAAATGATGCAGCCATAGTTTGGCAGTTTCTTAAATATTTAGCCATTAACTTATCATGCAATTCAGTAATTCTTGGATATCTATCTAAAAGAAATGAAAATAGATGTCCATACAAAGACTTGCACACAAATCTTAGCAGCTTTTCAAAGACAGTGATGCAGAGAGAGTTCATGCAAGATTGCTAGCTAGATGGAGGCTTGTGTAAGGTAAAGTAATCATGGGATGACAACCTCCCATAGCCTTTGTTGTATTCCATCAGTTAGAGGTAAGTTGCAGAAAAGGGTGGGAACACTAGAAGGTGGAATGCTTAGGGGTCACATCTGTGCCTATCTGCCAGTTTCCTTCTCAGTAAAGGATTCCCTTATTATCATTCCACCCTTATCTACTTTCATCCCTATTACTCTATGTCCTCTCTCCTGTTTATTTCTTCTCAATAGTACTTATAAGTTCCTATCTGACGTTACTGTACATGTTTATTTGCTCATTGTCTTTCTCCCATGCTAGAATACAAGCTCCATGGGGCAAGGATCTTCTCAGTTTACTATGATATATCCAACCCCTAGAAATGTGCCTGATGCGTAATAGGTACTTACTAGTTGAGAATGAATGAATGCATGATTTTAAAGCAAGGTATTTTTTTAAAGCAAGGCATTGTGTAAACTCCATTCAGGAAAATTATTCTGGCTACCTGGGCAGAAAAGAAGAAAGGCTAAAGGCAGAGAGATCAGTCATGTGGCCATCATAGTAGTCCAAATGCCTAAAACCAGGGATCTGAAGGGAGCTAAAGCCCAGGCAGTGGCAACGGACCAGAGACATAGCAGGGGAAACGAGTTTGGTGGGTATGTGAATAGAGGTGACCAGCTGCATCAGGGCATGGTGAGGAAGGTCTAGAACTTGGAGAGACTATCTCTTTCCCTCTCTACTACCCACTCCTGACCCAGCTCATCCCTATTTCTTAAGTCATGGCAGCTGTTTGGGCTGCCATGCTCTGCTGTAGTGAAAGGGAAACTAGTGGTGGTAGGTGAGGGCCAAGTTCTGTCCACATACAGCCCCTCTGAAGACAGGGTGGGCCTGTGATGGGTTAGGGAATTGCATCTCTTTACAGGGAAGACTGCCTGGGGCAGACAAAACCTCCCTCAAAGTGAATATTTTTTAATTTTTTTAAATAAATTGTTAGATATAGAGTCTCACTCTGTTGCCCAGGCTGGAGTGCAGTGGCATGATCCTAGCTCACTGCACTCTCAAACTCCTGGGCTCAAGTGATCCCCCTGCCTCAGCTTCCTGAGTAGCTGGGACTACAGGTGTGCACCACCATGCCTGACTAGTGTTTAAAATTGTTCATAGAGATGAGGTCTCGCTATGTTGCTCAGGCTGGTATTAAATTCTTAGCCTCAAGTGATCCTTTTGCCTCAGCCTCCCAAAATGATGAGATTACAGGCATGAGCCACCACACTCGGCTAAAGTAAACTTTGACTGATATCTGCAACCACCACGTAGGGAGCATTCCAGCTTAATTACATCATTAGATCTGGAAGAGTGACTTAGTCATGGTTCACAGGCTGTCTGCAGTCAGCAGTGAGCATCTGTCATATTTACTGAAGAGAGCGGGAAGCGCCATAAATTCATTAGCAAGACTTGGTTTTGTATCAGTGGACATGTAGAAATCCCAAAGTTTAATCTCAAGATAGTTCTTGGCACTCAGCAGCCTCAAAGCTGCTTAGAGCCACTTCTTCATGAGGTCTAGCTATGCCCAAAGAAGTAGGTAAATATGCCCTGGTGTACTGACCTGGCAGACAGAAAAGAGATATGAGTGGAAGGTGGTAAAGTGCCTAACACAGCTTCCAGACTCTGACATTCAAAGGCTACACTGTTTAGGACTGAGACTTTTCTGAGCCAAGTGATCCTTTCACATGGTGACTGTCCCCATAGTACCTCCACACTATCCAGCAGAGGTGGCCAGAGGTGATGGGGGAGGAACCGCAGATCAAAGTGCGATTCAAGTGTTGCAAGAGCTTTTCCCTTGCAAAAGATTCAGGGCACTTTAAAATGTATGAGCCCATATCCAAGGCCTTTTTATACCTACCTGCCTATTTACCTGTAGCTAAAGGCAACTATATGGACAAGCTAAGGCTCCCACTGGAAGATGGTATAATGAAGTGGTAAAAAAGGATCAGGGTTTTGGAGTCAGCCTACCTGGGTCTCAGCTCTGCTATTTATTAGTTGCATGACCTTGGACAAGTTACTTAATTTTCCTCTCACTCAGCAATTTTTTAAACTTCAAACTGGGAATGATAATAATAATAGCAACTTCATAGCATTGTGGTGAGGAGTGAAGGCTTAGAAATACTGTGCTTACGTTCTTTAGAACAATCTTTAAGTGGTTAGAACCATGTCTGACAAATGAATAAAACAACAGATGTCAGTTATTTATTAAATGTTTAAGTCACTTAAATATTCCAGAATTAAAAAGAAAGAGATAAATTAGGCAATATACCAACTTTACAGCAGCCACACAAAATTGTAGGAATGAGAGTCTATGCTCACTCCTTCCTGGACCCTTAAAAATAGATTCAGATCATACACGCTTAGGAAACCCCAAATTCCAGTCTTGGCCACAGCCATGTCTTGGGCCCTGACAAATGCATTCTCACTGTCCTTTCCTGTCTGCTGAACTGTCTGCTGTCCCTGCCTCTTTCCTGACCTTCCTCGACGTGGCTGTGCAATCTACTTCCTGATGCAGCCTTTCTTCTGACATTCTCTGGACATGCTCCTCTGATTTACTGGTTTTTCCTTCCTGAGACTTGACGTGTGGGTCTCTGCTGCTCCATCCATCATAGTGTCAGCTGAGAGCTGCTTGGGTCCCATAGGACAGGAAATGCAGCCAGTCTCTCTCTGATGGGAGAGGGATTAGACAGGTAGAAGTTTCTTATGTTGTGAAGAAACTGAAAGGTAACTTCTCATGGTCTTCTATTTTTTAAGATATTGAAAGACAACCAGCATATATTAATAAAAAGGGAGATGTATAAACCATGTGATAAAGATTGTACTAAAGAAGGTACATACAGTGCTTGCAAGCCTAAAAATTTTAAAGGATGCATTATTAATTATTTCAGACCCTCAATTTTCTTATTCACTTTTTGAACTAGAGTTGTCAAAGACTGATAATGCTTAGAAGT